TGATTGGTTGAGGGGGCCCCAGAAGTCCTGCCCCCTTCAGAGATTGACAGATGTCCATCCACCAATTTCCAGGGAGTGATGGGATTTCTGGGGCTCCTCGGCCAGGGGCATGGGGTGGGGCAGGAGGGCCAGCATGCTCAACTGCAAAAGCGGCAACCAGTGTTGCCCTTGGACTACAAAAATTGGGGAGCAGCACCTGAAAATTAGGTAGGTCCCCAATTATGGCTAATGTAATGCTTGTAAATTTTCCTTACTCTAAAATACAAGATATACCTTGGCACCCAGTTACAAATACAAATTAGTTGGGTGAAGAAACATTTAAGCGGCAGTGGGTTAAAACCACAGATGCCAGTGACACCTCAAACTAACAAAGCATGAAGTTATACAAGTTGCTGGCATCAAGCAAGCTCCATTATCGGCTCCAAGCAGTGCGTTCGAGGACTCTAGCTCACTTCATCCAAGTATGTATTATATGCTTGTTAGCCAGCTCCTTGAGTGCCACACGAGGTTTCCAGTGGCAGTTTCAAATGGGATGTTGGGAACAGGTCCAAGAGACCATATGGGTGCCACTTTTCTGGACATGTGTCAAGTACTGCATCACTGAAGCAAGAGTCTTTTTGTACAATGATTAAATAGTCTTGTAAGAATAAAAGGTTTTTGGCAAGTATATTCGGTTGGTATTTGAATTAATCTTAGGCACCAATGGGCCTGTACAGTACCAATATTTCGTTTCCCAACAATTTAGAGTATGAGCATTAAAAAAAAAAAAAAATTAGGAATGTTTTATAAAAAGGGCTCTCAAAGTACTCAAGCTTCTCTATCAGTGGTTCTCTTTGTCATTAGACTCAAGTCACCCCTCGGAGAATGCCAGCTTTTAGCTTTCACTCCTTTCTTGTCTATGAAAAAATAAGAAAGGATTTTTCTGTTGCAGAAACTCAGGAAGACCACAACAGGTCAGAATGTTTGGACACTGTGCATTTCCATTTGACACATCTTGGTTTATCTTGTAAATTATGTGTAGGTGTTTACACACCTAACAATGTTAGTATTGTGCATCACCCTTAAAAGGATCTTGTGACACCCTGGTTGAGAATCACTGCTCTATACGTTTAGTTTAAAAATAAAATATATGCTGCCTCATTTTCCAAAAAACGGAACCTGTGAATATTACACACTTTTTCTGGAGGATTACATCCAAGATCTCACAAGTCCAACTACTGGTGTATTTTTCCTCTCGGGCCAATGTGAAAAATGTTGTAACATACAACTTCAAGCTTCTTTACTTTATACAAGCTAACCAGGTAAATTGAGTTTGTTAGCACTAAATTTGTGCATAACAAGTAAAATTTGTAACATGAAAACAACATTGTATGTATACAATTATATATTTATTGTATTTAAGACAAAAAGTATGACGCACCAAGATTTTCAGCTTATATCAAGAAAGTGTGTTGACCTTAAGAAGCTAGTTTTGTAATTATCATGATTGTTATATAAGCTCAAAGTGAAAATGTATTTAGCTTAAAAACAGGAAAAACATATACAGAAATAAAATTTGTTGGATACTAATAACCTTAAAGCATAATTGTCAGGTTAACAGACCCAAAATGTTAAGTTTTGTGAAAATGTTTTACAAAATTGAAGACAAAGGAAATATTTCAGTACTTAAAATTTCAAGATGATTTTTTTTTAATTAACAGAAATCAAAGCAGTGTGCAAATTAAGGAGTTGAAAGAAAGTGACCAGTTAATTTTCAACTGAAAATTTGTTGAACCCTAAAAATTTGTTAAAGCATAAAATTAGATTTTCACATAAGGTTCTAATATCCCCAAATCTAAAAACAGGAGAGGAGACTTGTTCTAATGTATGCAATTGTAACCTGACAATAACCCTTTAATTTTCCACAAAAGAAAATTTTATATACTTTCACATATTTCCATGACAACATAACATCGACTTAGTTTCTTTTAAAGCTATCACAGCAGAATTCTAAATATTCTTTATAACTTAAAAGTGAGAAACTGCACCAAACTAGGTAAGGCATTTGAAGGTAACTTTGTGTGATGGACACGAAAAAATGACAAGTTCTCTGTATATCCCTGCAATTATGAAAAAGCCATAGCATTTATTGCAATACATCACATTTTTGCAAGCGTCCCTACAGTTTCTCTCAGCTTTGTAAGATTTCAAATGTAAAGTAATTTTGTTTACTGGGCTACAGTCAAACTGTAGTGAAACTGATTTTCCAACTTATTTAGGTTTCTCTAGTAGTCATGGACAGAAGACACATGGACTGATCGAGAGATGCTTGGCCATAACAAAAATGTGATTATCTACAGCACATAACTGCAACTTGAGAAAACTGATGCCCACTGCCCCTCCTCTCCCTTCCAAGTGGTCAATGCTTGAAATCAGGGGAATGACAACAAGAATAAAGAGGAATATTTATTCCTATTTATGGAATTTTTTTTTTTTTGCAGGCATACAAAATAGGGAACAGATTTTAAAAGTTAATTAGCATACATATGTGAAATTTTAAGCTCTTTTTGGAGGTACCATCATTAATAAACTTTAAATATTTTTTTTGTTGTTTTTTTACAAGCCTACCAACATAAGATTCCCTATGAAGGATTACAGAGAAATGGACAACCTCAATCAATAGTTCAAGCCAAAAGAGACATTTTCATAACTTAAAATTTGAGTGGTCTAAAATGGAACAGAAATATTGTAATTTAAAGCATATGCAGTCATGGAAAACCTCAGTACTGTGATTATGGGAGACCTGCACACATTTGAAATAGTTACTAATTATGGTTCCAAAAATAAATACAGTTGTATTAATACTGTGCTGCAGTTGAGCTTAATAAAATCACCTAAGAATGCTCATTTGAGTTTCAACCTTGCAAGGTGCTCAGCATCTTTTATGGTTGCCCAGCTCTTTGCAGGATTGATCCCTATATGCAATGTTAATATTTGTTATGACTACTAAGTGTTCAGTAAATCCTTAGTAGCAAATCAGTTTAATGAGGAGACTAAAGCACCAAAATATTTTTGGCTCATTAAAATACATTCAGCTTTTTTTCTTGTTCCCAACAGGTGCAGACTCAGTTAAATATTGATTTAATCAAGTAATGGAATATAAGAAGGTCAGGAGGAAGTCTAGTGCTGTTTTCAACTACTGGTACCAAACAAAAATAATATACAAGTAAGCCTCCAAGACTAAAGTCAGAAGCATCTAACACTGCCTTGCAAGTTGTCTTTGACATTATTTACCCATTGTGCACGCTAACCACATTCAGTCTCTGGATCTATTATTTGACTTTCAGTAAGAGAGCTACGACTACCAGAGGAAACAAATGCTAGATTTTGTAGCACATTATTTTAAGAAATCATTTGAAAATTAAAGTGGCATTGGAGAGGAGCATAAGTGCAAAATAAAACACATTAGTTAGGTATTTTCTTTCCCCCTCCCCAAAAGAAACACAAAGAATATTCAAGTGTGTTTTACTTCAGTCCCATTAACTGAAGGGAACACTAACAAAAATATGCAAATAGGTAAGATAGCATAACAGGGGTAAAGTGACCCTTTCCTAATATCTGGCAGTTCAATGCAGATCTGTGAAAGAAGTGACCCTTGCTATTGTCTACACAGTAAACTTACCATCCTTGCCAACACCAGCCTCAAAGCATGTCCCGTGCTCTCTGTATGCTGCCTCCCATCTGCGGAAGCAGTGAAAGAGTACTTCAGGTGATTACTACTGCTGAGCAACAGGGCCTATTCAGCCCATCCCCAAGCTAATTAGGCTACCTGTATGGTCACGGCTACACAGCTTCCAATTTACTCTCAGGGGCAGGAAGTTTATCACAGACCTTGCCTTCATAATTTACATTTTTTTTTGTTGTTTTTTTAAAAAAAAGAAAAAAGTTGGGGACGGGGAGTTTCACTTTAATGCAGGAAGAGCTTTGGACCTCTGAAGTGTCACAGATACTTTAATAAGAATATTTTTAGGAGGATTGATATAAACAAGTTCAGTCAAACTTGTATGGAGCCTTAGATGTGGGAGGAATCAAAACAAGTTTTATTCCAAGGCAGAGAATAGGAGTTATGGGGGTATTCATAAGATTGTGTTCTATACTCCTAAAACTCTGACTGCAATGACTCTTAGCAAATATTACCCACTCATGTTGCAGAACCCCCCAAGTACATATGGGCCCAGTAATCAGAACAGTTTTGAATTATGCCAGCATATTTTAAACCAGAGACATACTCTTCAGTGTCACAGGTCATTTGTGCCCTATTTCTGAAGAGTGAAGTTTTCATACAGACACAATATAAGACGACAAAGTATAAAGCAGGAACTTTATCCTAAGTCATCTTGTAACAGCCTAATTTTGTAGCATTCAGTACCTCAAAAGCTTTGTTCCTTTAAAGCTGAGAATAAAGGAACTCAAGGGTTAATGAAAAAAAAATCTGGAAAAAATATTTTTAGAGCAGTCATAATTCATGCCAATTTTGAAAACTGTGTTTTTAAAACTTGAGCAGACTAGTTTCCTAAAGATATTTCCTGTGAGGTAAAAAACTATAAGTTGAGATGGTTTCTTTTTTATATGGTTTAAAATTTAAAGGGGGCAAGAAATTCTTTCCATATTAGACCAAAACAACAGCTTACAAAAAATACACAAGCAAGCTTTCCAATACTAGGTTTTTAAAACCCACAAGTTGGCAGTAAGTTAAAAGGAGCGTACTCTTGAACATGTGGGTATGGCTACAGCTAAAATCTGATAATCCGGTTTCTCGGTCTAAAGCCTGCAGTAGACCTAAAATGTCCAACCCCCAAGTCCCAGATCCCCTCTGCTGGGGCAAAATTTGGGTAGGAACCGATTTCAGAGTAGAGTATCACTACTAAGAGGAAGCTATGAAATGAACACATCCGGAATCTGAATCCAACTGAGGGAATACAGAGAAGGAGACAGTGAAGGTACACTTGGGTGCAATTTCATGCTGGTGATTTTTTTTTTTTTTTTTTTTTTTTTAAATGTAAGCAGCTAGGCTTAGCACAGATTTTAAACCAGAAGTTGCATATTCAATGACACACACACACACACACACCTCAGAACTTAAGTGACTATTAGCACATTGGTACACATGCTTACATAAAACTTAGTGAGAAGTATATACATGTTCTAAACAAACGTTCATTTTAACAGTTGAAATATTTCATAACACAAAAAAGCATATCAGTTACTACAAAAAAAATGCAAAACAGGATCACCAAGTTTCCACAAGCATCATATGCATTTTAAAGTGCTTTCTGGGTGTTTCAAATTAACCCCATTCAATACGATCCTGTATAGCACTCTTCCAGTCACTACATAATTGGTTTAATTTTACTTGTCTTTTCAGGTGCACTGTGAAGTCCAGAAAAAACTGATGACCTATTACTGATACACAATATTTATTCTCTACCAGTATAATCATATACAGTGTTAAACAAATTTAGATGAAATTCTCAAATACTTTGGTTTAACCTTAGTTTGGGATAATTATTTGATGAAACAAAAATCACATCCCTCCACCCTTTGATCTAAAAAGGGACATAAATTGACAGGATTCTTTGGTTAAAAAAAAAAAGCCACAATATTTGGGGATTTTAGATGTGTGTGTGCTTATTAAAAGTGGTCTTAACAAATGATGTTGCTACACTGCCAATTTATGCAGCCTAAGAACTACTCCTCATATAGCAGAGAATATCAAAATATTGATTTCATCTAGTAAATCAGTTCTACAGGTTGAAATATCATCAGCAACCTCTACAGGGGACTATAAGTATCTTTAAAAACTTTACCTGTTTTTCTGCCATTTATTTTTTTATGTTGTAAATACTTCAAACTGCTTAAATTTCATGACATACAATTATTTTTCAGTGACTGTCAAAACATTATTCAACAGTGTACACTGTCTGGGTTCTCATAAAAAATGTAACATTTGAGAGTCAGAGATATTGTGCTCTGACAAACCAATATTTAACTGCACAGAATTTGTGCGTTAACTCTACTAATTACTAGGAAAAGCCTATTAAAAATTCAGTTAACTGCTACAAGTTATGCAAATATATAAAAACAGAGCAGATATACAAGTATAACACTGAACATACTGTACTTTATTAGCACAAAAAGGCAGAACAAGGCACAGCAAGCAGAAAAATACATCAATAGAAGGGTTAGTGTTGCATACAAGAAAAGTTATTATTCTTGTATCTGCAGCCAAAAGGTTCCCTACCTCACATAATCACTGCCATAGAGAAGTAAGTAACGTACTGTAGTAACTGGTAAAGAAACTAGGGAGCTCACAACTGGTATAAAATATAAAAACAGGGTACTGCATATACCAATAAAATTTTAGTGCAAAAAATGTCTGACAGTACAGTTTAAGTTCTGTCCAACATTAAATACGCAAAAAAAAATTAGATTATTTTTTTTCCCCAGGTAGACTGCTGAAATAGTATCAGTGCACAATATTAAATATTACAGAAAGTGCTAATGGAAAAATGTTATAGTATCTATAAGTAACAGTACCTTTGAAACTTGATTTATTTGTCTAACTTTTTTTTTTTTTTAACTTGCTTGAATAAGTTTTAATTAAATTATTCAACTATGATGCATTTCTCTATAAACAGTATTAAATACAGTTTTCATTAAACATTATTCATTTACCGTTCAACATAATCTTCCATTGTGAATTAGAACGTTTGTTGGGTAACCAATTCTTATATTTTATTTGTCAAAAAGTATAAACTGCTTAATTTACAATAGCAATAGTCCAATTTAAACTAGCTTTGGATTCAAGATTTTTTTTAAATTTGGAAGGTTACGTTAATATTAGTCTTGCTAACAGTGCCACTTAACACTGAAAGAGTTGTAAATATAATTACACCACTGATTCAACATAGTTAAGTGCTCATAATTTGGAAACCTGATGCACTAACAGAAGTGGGAATTTTGGTTGTTGGCATAAAAAAAAACCCACCGATTTCTCCGCTGCTAATGAATCACACTTGAAAATACTTCTTTATTTCCTGGCATCTGGAAACTTGTTTATAAAAGTATAGATTAGTCTTAAAGACTAGATTTTTTTAAAAGTTACTTAAAAACAAGAGAGACCTCAGGATCACATTGGAAATGCTCATCCAATAAAACTTTTTGTTCATTAGCATTACACTGGATGCTTTATAGAAAATGCCCCATAGTTGCTTCACTCAATTACTACAGCTATAAAAAAGGAAAATGTATTTAGAAATTAGCAAAAGTATTTTAATATTGGCCTTAATGAAAAAACGTGCAGCTTTGTGTCTGCTTATTGTTTCAAGAGGCATCACAACTTGGTTTGATTAACAGCAGGCAGCATCTGACAGGATACTAACACTAGGCTTAAATACGGTATTGCAAAAAAGCTAAACACTGTTGATGCACTTGCTGCAGTTAAACTGTAACACACACAAAAAAGCAGGTTCTAGTAAGCTTATTGGAGACTCTGGATTCTGTTTACTTTGCCTTAATCGGTTCCCGTTCCAACCATCGCACCCTGACTTTTTGTTTATAGTGATATTCCTTAAGAAAGTCTTGCAACATTGACGGTAAAGGGAGTTCATCAATTCCATCATACGTAGTGCACCTGCAGATTACTGCCCGGCAGATATACTGCAGACTAAAGGGAAAGGTCCTGTTCAGGGATACAGTAAGTAATGGTTCAAAAAACATGCAAGAGCTAGGATCTTTATAGTGTTCTAGAAGCCCTGTAACAGTGGAGGAGTGAAATACACAGGGATCATGAGCATCAAAACTGAAATTGTGATTCCACTGCTCAATACGTGCATGTAGGGATCGGTTATAACGACGGAAGCTCACAGAGAAGAGGTAGTCCTCTTGTGCAGAATCCCTGAGCAAAAAAGTGCCTTCAGGTTTCCCTTCCAGAAGTGCCTCGGCCTCGTAACGGTCCATCACACCCCAGTAACATGGGTTACCTGTAATTTGAAGTAAATCTGGTACTAGGCAGTGTATGTAATCAATCTGAGTGTGCACTTTCCAAGCCCCTTGTCTACTGATATGGCCATGGCTCTCTCCAGACACCTGCCGTTGCTTCTGCCTACGTGACTGCAAACAGAGGGTTGTTGTGTCCTCTTCAGAGTCACAGGTTCCCTGTGGTGTCACACAGCTGTCCCCAGTCAGCTCAGTCATACCAGGGGCTAACTTTGGTCCCAGTTTATACAATGGATTAACCTGTGCTGTAGCTTCAAAAGTATGTATTTGGGCATTGGGTGGGGGATCGACCCCTTCTTCAATACTAAGCCTACGTCTCTCTCTCAGTCTATCTTCTTCATCTTCTGTAGAAACCAAGGAAGGATCAAATGTATCAAAAAATGTTGAATGTGGGCTCACAGGAGCTGTATGTTGCTTGATCAGATGCCACTTTTGGGCTAGATCTGATCCAGCAGGAAAAGGACATTTCTCAAGCATTAGTTCAGAGAGATGGATTTTCCTTTTACTGGAAAATAGGGGTTTGCACTGTTTGCTATAAGTTCTCATGGGAAAACATAATCCAACAGTATCTTGCAGTCTCTGCCGCAGGGAACGGCTACCTACTGTCCTGTTTGATACACTATCCATATCATGCATAGAACTCACTCCGTATCTTCTCTCCCTCCTTTGCAAGCCATTGCGTGTTCTACCAAACCTTTTATCACTATCCAAGGAGCTCTGGGTTTTTGTAGAGGAGGAATGTTTCTTCTTCCCACCCCAAGGAGCATGCCGAGAGTAAGAGTCCCTTCGTGCCAGTCTAGCTCCTGTGGGAACACACAACTCGTTTTCTTTCTCAATACTTATTTCAACAATTTGAGGGATCTCAGTGACACAATTCTGATTTCGTCTCACTGAATTCTTTGAAGGACTTAACCCTAATTGTAAGGCAACATTCTCTCTTAAAGGGCTGCTGGGTTGCTGCTGAGCCAAATCAGGTACATTGACACTTTTATCCTTAACAGATAAACATCTACTGGATTTCACAGCTACATCATCATTTCGGTTTCCACTTTCATGACTGAAGAGATTTTGGCATCTGTATTTGAAGTTGTTCCACATCTTTCCCACCTTATCCATGGATTGTGTTACCTACATTTAAGAGAGGAGAAGAAAAGAAATTTAATTAAGTTCAACTTTTTTATATTTAGGAAAATAAGTTATTAGCATCAATGATTTAAGTAACAGGTATGGCATTTAATTAAAAGACAAACACATTATGTTACTTCTTGCACCGTTCTGCAGCACTAATATATATAGATTGCAGTTTGGTATCCTTAGAAAACAAATATAGATAAACAGTATTAAAAACCCACAAAACTACTTTTCAAAAACAGATCAGAAGCTATGATATGTAGCATCTTCTCACCTTACACACAAACCCTACCACTTCACCTCAAATTAACAAACCAACCCACAAAAGCAAAGGTTGGCAAACTACAGCCTACATGGGACTTCGGTAGCATTTAGTGTTGGGAAGCTTTGGCAATAGATGCTGTCCCCACACTGCCAGAGGAATAAGCACTGGCTGCTGCCAAGTCCTAGCAGCTGCCAACCTGCAGCCTGGGGTGGGTCATCCTGGCCTGCAGCTGGAAAAAGGTTGCCTACCCTTTTAGTAACACTATTTCAGAGGTTAATTCTTAAGTTGCACTTTCTGCTAAAAAAAGTGAATCACTTAGATTTCAATTGCTTCGTTCTGAATGTTATACATAAGATAAAATGACTCTCTATAAACCTGATTTTTCCAAAAATCATAATGGAGGAAAAACAAATATGGGGGGGGGGGGGGGGGGGGGAAGAAAAGGGGGGTGGGGGGGGGGGGGGGGGGCACAGAAGAGAAGGGCATGGAAAACTTCAGTAAAGCAACTGCCCCCAGAAAAAAAAATTGCAAATCTACTTCCTTCCTACCCCAAATGGGCAAGGGCTCGTTCTGTAAAAGTATTTGCATTTAGTTTGAAAAAGGAAAAATGTGTGACAGTTTCAGGTTTCAAGCTATAACACCACCTCCCCCACCCCTTCATTTAAAGTTTTGCATAAGTAGCGTGAAAGGTTCATCTGAACAGACAGGAAATAAGAAAGCCTTACCAGAAAGAGGCAGAAAGACACTTACGAAAGCTTAAGATGTCAAAAGTTGAAGATACTGTAGTAAAGCTTCAAGTGTGCAATGCCTTAAGAAGAAAAAGGCAGTCCACATGATTATTTAAGGGGGCAGGGTGGAGGAAATAAAGAACCAGTGTTAGAGCAGGAAGCCTATTTTCTACCTAGAGCATTGTATACAGCTAGTTCTACAGTAAGAGATTAGGACACGGTGAGTTTCCAAGTTGTTATCAGAAAGTGATGCCAACATCAGCAGTAACCAAACTGCAATCACTTCTTTAGAAACGGAATCTGATGACCTAAAATCCAGGCGTGAAAAACACGGGAACTACCGGAACAATTTATGACTAGCATATGTTCATCTAGTTATCTGACTGCTATTCTATTATTTTCTAAGCAGCTACCAGAAGTGAATTCCTGTTACAACAGACAGAAAACAGACAATAGCTTCAAATAAGCTTTACTGCCAGTATTCAAGAACAATTTTACTTTGCTGGAGACACCATCTGGCAAGCAACTCCAAGGGAGGTGGGGGTATCTAAATAGGAAAACTGGGATTAAAAAAAAAAAATCAAGAACTGTTAAAAAAAAGTCCAAAGGCAAAAGGGCCTGGTAAGAGCAGATGAGAACAAGGCAGCACACCTAGTAAACACTGGGCCTGCCCCAACTTTGAGGAATACAGTAAGTGTTAGCAGGAAAATTATTTTGTAATTTTTCATACCAAAGCAGTTGCAGCTTTTGGTAAAACATTTAAGACAATATAACACAAAAAAGGGTAAACCACAAGGCTTCATACAATCTCAAAGACAGATATCAGTAATTGAGTGCAGAGTTGGGGGTGAAGGAGGAAGTGTAAAAAAAGTCAAGTTAGAGCTAAGACTAAGAGCATCTATACAAGTGCCTTGGGGTGGAGAGGGGGGCACTTTAATTAGAGCTTTAATTAAAGTGCCCCCGCCGCCATTTTGAAATGTGGGGACACTGACTACACTCAACACAGAGGCTGCTGAATCATGTTAATTAGCATGCTCCAGCAGACTCGATTAATTGAGTCTGCTCCAATGCATGCTGATTAGCGTATGTCAGAGCAGAGGTCTGTCATGTGTATAGGTGCCCTAAGTGCCTAGAGACTGTAACTCAAGACTACTAAAACAGCCAACTATCTGGAAGAACAGAAAGGATGTAATAATAATAATAATAATAATAATAATAATAATAATGGGGGGAGAGGACACAAAATAGAAGGGCCCTGAAAAGAAAGAGTCATCTGTTTTTACTGTTACAGCTACATATAACAACATTTTAGCAGCTGCTACAGAACCTCTCCTTTCACACACACACACACACACTCAACGTAACACAAAAGAGGAGGCAATACTTTCCAGCCTCAAAGGCTTTTTTTTAAGTGACTTCTCTTACCTAAATTCCAGGCCAAGCACTTCAAGGAGGGGTAAGTACATATTTGGGTGGAGAAAAATCAATCAGAATCACTTTCTGGACTCAAAGATCACTCACAGACAAGAGATCTTGAAGGATGCAAATACACACACAAGTAACTGGCATCTTTTACTCCCTGTAAGGCAATTAGCCATTCTTTTCCATTTTAGTTGTAAATGCTATATAGGCTGCAGCTTCATCACCATAGCCATATGAAAGAGGAATGCAGGAAGTGTGCTATTTTGAACAGATGCTGCTCTCTCTCAGGATTATGTACAGTACATTTGCCTTTTTTGAACTGTGAAATAAATATGGTACCTTTCTTACCCAAAAAAGGCCTATAAGCCACTCTGTCCTGTCTTGAGACTCTACCTCAAGATGTACTTCCTGGATTCCTTGTCCAAGATGTGGATGACATGATTACTATAAAAAGGAAGACAAACAATATTTTAGTAATGCTAAAATATACCTTTACTTACAAAGGTAAGAATTTCCACTTCACTGAAAATTGTACTTCAACTGTTACATATACAGTAATTATCAGACAGATGATTTGTTGTGGCAAGAAGGAACTCAAACAGCTTTTCTTCATTTCTAAATCTGTTAACCCCTGTAGTGAAAGAACCTTGTGGAAGATGCCAGAACGAAATTTTGTACGTAGTTAGGCCAAAGCTAGAAGCATGTGGATTCTTGATATTCCTGAAGCAGTGGGTATACTGGTGTACCTCATGAAAAAGGTTTCTGCACTTCAGGCCAAATGTGTAAAGTAGTGGTTCTCAAGTTGTGGCCTGCAGAGCACTTGGTGGTCTGAAGAGCTGGCAGATCACTTGATGCTTGGCTCCCCTCCTTGTTTCCAGCTGCTACATCACATCAAAAGGCAGCTAAAAATATACACTTTCCTAATATTAGTTTTCCAGGTAAGCAACTGCTGTAGTTGCCACAGGGATGTTATATGATTGTAAAGCAAAGGGAACATGATCTATGCATTTAAGAATGGGAGGGAAAGATAAGATCTTAAACAGATTTTACTATGAATGTTTAGGTCAGTGTCTCTCCAAAATGATGATTATGTTGCCTTTTAGAAATCAAGAAGCTAAGAGGATTTCAGGAGAACACTACTTACAATAGTCAGATGGCAGTCAGAGTTTTAGTAGCAAAAGGAAAGAAGAGAACTGAAGGATTTAAACTACTGCTTCCCTATGTCAAAATCCTTTTGCAAGGTTAAGAGTTCATTTAGGTACTGAAAGTTCTACAACTGCTCTATACCTTAAAAATCACAAAGCAATTATCTGAACAAGATGTGTGTTTATTGAAATATGATGGAAGGAAGCATTTTCATAGATGGCAGCTTCAGGACAATCAGATGGGATTAACAGCTCATTTGCAAAGTATTAAACATCTTCAATTTCTATTCACTTCCATCGGAACCAAGATGGCTCAATACATCTTAAAAACAGGCTATAAACTACAGAAAGTTTTTCAGCAAAAAGGGTAAGCTCTTACAGAGAGCAAACAGAACTGCAAATGCAAAGCAGTGTTGAAATGTGGATTCAACTAGGAGACAGAACTGTAACTTTGCATGTTTACTTCTTTACACAGCACCACTGATTTTTGCTTTCAGCAAATGTACAAGGGAAAAAAAACAGACAAAATAAAATTACAATGTTTAAATACATGCAGGCCTTAATCAATGCAAAGGAATGACTGAGTAATGATGAAGGAAAAAACTTTATGTTGGAAGATAAAATTTGCAAGAATCAAAAGAATAAAGACTGAGCGTAAGTCAATACAATACTCACTTAGCAGGCGTGTTACCTAGACTAGAACTGGTATATACCTTCTAAATGAAAATGGTACTGATATTTAAAATGTTCACTTTCTAAACACATTTGACAGGACAAGCCGATTGAAAACTGTTCTAACTTTTAAAAAGTATTAACTACATGCACTGTTATCTTGAAGTTTTTAACTGAGTGATTTTTAAGCCTTACACTTTACTCCATTATCTCTCAAACCAGCTCCATAAAAGGTGAAAGGCCAAGTCATTTCCAATCAGAATCTGTCAACGCTGTTGGTTGATTGATGTAGCCTTTTGTACAGAGTGGGCTCCATTAAGCAGTGTCTGATTTAGAAACCATTTAATTTAGCAGAAAACATTTTTTGAGCTCAGGCAACTATCGCAGTTACAGCTCCCTGCCTCGCATTTGAACAAGGTTTCAACCATTCCAGAGAGCATCAGATTGCTTTAAAATGAAGTGCAAAACTTGCAGTTCAGGGTTTCTTGTGGCTGCACGATATTGACAAAATATGGGTTACTTCTGCAGCAGCTCAAAAGCCAGCTCAATAAAAAACCCTAACACTGCCAAATTTGATAGAAGTACAAACCACTGATGAACTGAAGGAGTGTCTTCATTTCAGCATAGGGATAGCTGTAGAACACCCCCAAACTAGCTTTTCCTAACTAGAAAAAGAAATCTATTAGGCTCTTAGGCTTAAAAAGGCTTTTTCTTATTTAAGTTGTAAAGTTTAAATATGCAGATGAAAGACCAGGGTGGGAGGGAACAGGGGAAATCTGACTCCTTTCAAGGGAATCTTTAAAAAAAAAATGTTTTGAATGCAACACAGTAGATTTTTGTCTCTTCAATAAATGTATGTACTGCATTAGTGAAATGTGGCGTATACATTTTTAAAATAGGACTCAAATTTTATTTTTTTCCTCCATTTAGTTCTGTCAAGTCATGCCTTGTTATGGATTGAGTTCTGACAACCATTTCCACTAATAAAATAGCACAACAGCTGAACTTCTGCTTAGAGGGCTGCTTACTTCTGGCAGAAACATTCTGAGCTAAATTTGTCTTTATGTTAGAGACAAATCTTATAGCACAGTGGGTTTATTTCTCAGACTTAAAAGTTAGATGATGCAGAGAAAAAAAGTTCAAGACATTAAATCCTTAAATGTTATACAGAAGTGTTGGCCTATGAAAGCCAAAATAATGCACCTCACCTCCAAAAACCTCTCCTACACAACTATTTGTTACAAAAATTGAAGAAAAAAAAAAATGGAGTCTTGTGGTTTCGCACTGAACATTTCAAAATGAAGAAGCTTTTCACAAGTCAAAAATCAGTCCCCTAAAGGGAAAGTAACAAAACAGGTGAAAAAGGTAGGACTGTTAAGGTACAAACGAGCTAGTATTATTCTACTCCTGCACCTATGGTCCTCAGAGAATTGATAATGTCTAGTGCTAGGGACAGGATGGGGGGAACCCAATAATAACAGCCAAAACAAAATCAAGTGTCTGATGTGGAGAAGCTCAAAGAACACAATATTAAGAATAGTATATACACAATACATAACTTCTGTATGATGCACCACATTACTATCAGATAGGTAGTGTTCAATTGTCTCCCAAGTTTATCCTTGAATCTTGAACAATATTCTATACACACACACACACACACACACACACACAGGCAGTCCTTGACTTACAACATTTTGAGTTACAACATTTCAAACGTACAACATTTATAAATTGACACTGTTTCAATTTTCTGATGTCAGTTTTGACTTTACAACACTTGATCCTAAGCGACACAATGCCAGCGAACAAGTTCACTGTGTCACCCATCACTCTGGAGAATATCGGTTCAAACTTCCTTTTCTTTAAGAAAACAGATGAGATTCCAGAAAAACCTGCAGTCAAGACTCCAGCCAAGAACCCTTCAAAAAGTCAAACCAAGAGCCCTTCAAAAAGTCCAGCAAAGTCACCTCAAAGAAGCCCTTCCAAATCAATACGATTGCTATTTACAATATAAATACATTAATGTAGCTATATTACTCATCTATAATTGATCGAGTACAAAATTCTGGGGTATTTTTTGGTGAAAATAGGGTATCGGGCCTTGGTTCAGGAACCAATCCCCAATTTATAACATTGTTCCTATGGGAAAATTGGTTCCGAGTTACAATGTGTCGATTTAAACAGTTTTCAGGAACCAATTGTGTTGCAAGTCCAAGGACTGCGTGTGTGTGTGCACACGCACATACGCACACACACACACACCATCTGTCTGTCTGTAACGCTTTTTAAGGGTGCTGGGAGCCCAGTGTGGTGGGGAGGGCAGGAAGAGGGGCCAGCTGAGGAAACGTGGGAGCCAGGCTCCCAGCTACTAAGAGAAGCCAATTACCTGGTTACTGTGAGCATTAGCATTATTTGAAATTCATCCGGCATTCTTGACAAGCAATTCGTTAGTTGATAATATACTGTGTTGATATCATCTGGGAATTGTAATTGTTTATCAATTGCAAAAGATAGAGGTGACCACAGCAGTTGTTTTTTCTCCTACCCCCCAGGTTTGTAAATTGCCTACAAAGGACACTACTAAATTTGAAATGTCAGTTTTGCTTCCTTATTTCTTGACTGGGAATAAAGAATGAGAACACTCCCTTCATTAGCCACAGTTCTTAAAGCAGTATTTGGGAATTGCTCAACTGCCTTCCACAATTCCCCAAATTGTGTAAAATCAAAGCTCCAATTCGAATTTAGTACAGGCCCACAGAACAAGGTTAAGAGCTAGGACTGACATGAAAAAAGGGCGACTTCTTTGGGTCCTTGACTTTGAAAGCACAACCCTACAAGACTAAATTCCTTCACACAAGATTTGCATGAAGCATCCTACTGATCTTGGATAACAGGGGGCAGGAGACATAAATGAAGAGAAAAAAAGATGACAGAGGTACCACAGATGCACCTTACAAAAGGAGCAAGGGAAAACCTGAAGCTTTAAAAGCAACAATTCCTCTCTTCCCACATGAATTCCAAAAATAATGAATCACTGTCCCAAAACTGGAGATACTAACATACAAGTTAAATTAGTTTATTTTAAAAATGAAGAACTAGCTGGTAAAAGTGGAACTTTGGAACAAAAGTAGCACTTCAGGTAGAGACTAATGATTACCAACCCTACTAGTTGTTCCAAAACTAACTTACTTACTTTCCTAACTACCATAACTGCTATGGAGGCAAGATTTCACAGTCTCATAAAAGGACCTTGTAGTACCCTTTGAATAAACTGGAGACGTGCTGAAGTGTGGAAGACATAATTACAACACAGGTACTTCAAGAAAATTTCACATGGGCTGGCTATCTAGAACTGGATATGTCGGTACCTCGAACGCTCTAGTTTTGGAAATCAAGATTGGTAGAAAAATTTAACTAGTTTTAAGAATATTCAAACTAAATTTTCAGTCCGTTGGACAGTATGTTTCAAAACTGTAAAGAATGGGTTAAATAAGGGTGTCCTGCAAAGACAGTATACAATATATACATTTCAACTCAGAGATTGTTTTATGTGATCAACAGAAATGATTGGGATTGTGGATGTCGTCATATTTTTCAGATAACTGACAATGAGGAAGCAGCAAC